CACATATAGAAAATAAGACATTGTTTGACATTATCTGTGCCTGGAGTGGCCTAACAGAGATAGAGCATAAGCTATAAATATCTATGTATATGATTTTTCATTATAGTTCCCTATTAGGGACCCAAGGATGGAAAGTTGACTGCCAGCCTTTCAGAACATTCTGCTGGTGTCTGTATTGATATTCAATTTGCTGTACACTTTAAAAAAGCTATCATAAAAAGAAACTGGTTTTAAGCTAGATTCCTAAAAAGAGCATCAGCGATTTTTGCCCATAGACATATGTTTTAATATTTGCTGTTGCTTTATTTTATATGAAAAATACTCACATTAATAAAATTGGAAAAAAATGACTTACTCTATATTTTTTAGAGTCTCAAAGTATTTTTTTCATTTTAGAGATAAAATACATACTATTGTTTAAGCCCAAATTTCATTTCTGTCTGGCAGTTGTTTCAATTACAGCACAAAAGCTACCTTATTGGCAGAGCAAGTGTAATGGAAAGGGAATCAATGATTTCTTCTGACAAAATACACCTAATTCAATAAATTTTATTTGGACACCTATCGTGAGCAAGGTATTTTATTAGAGTTCTGTGAAAAGTACAAAGATTAGGAACCATGGTCCCACCTGCACTCTTACAACAAGATTAAGACCTCCACGGCATTGCATGACATGGGTGCACTCACATACATGCAGGCAATACACTCACATAAAATAAAAGTAATAAAATATTTTTAAAAATAAAGAACAAAAAAAGGTTTCTGTATTATGAGTAGTACAATCAGAGGAAAAGAATAGAACTGTAAGTAGTTTTCAAACTCTTAATTTGACATTTGAAATTGTTCATCTTACATTTAAAAAAATAATAAAGATGTAACTTTTCATAATATGATATATATTACCATTAAAATGGACTCTGTATTATATATGTATATATGACTGTATGTTTATAAATGTGTGTATGTGTAACAATAATAATCAAAGAAGACAAGAAATTGAGAGGGGGTGGGGGACATGGAAGCAGTTTGTGGGGGATTGATAATGGTAGAAATAATGCAAAGACAATACCCATGAACGAAATTCTCAAAAATAAAAATATAAATGTAAAATAAAATGAATTAAAAATTAAAGCCAAAACCAAAGTTACTGTACTTAAGGCCGACAAGATGCCTCATGGGGAAAAAAGCACTAGTCTTATAAGCCTAAAGATCGATTTGATCCCCCAAAGGTAGAAGAGAGCCCTTGACCCCACAAAGTGTCCTCTGTCCCCCCACACATACTGTGACACACATGCACTCCCACCTGCATTCATATACACAATAAAAATAAATAATACCAAGTAAGTAGGGCACTCTATTCAATTGAATTTTAATGGTAGTAATATACCATCAGGGACTGAAAAACAAGCACCGCATATACATAAACTTCTCTTTTATATGTTTTCTTCATTATATTCTCACATTATGTGGAATGTATATAAACCGTTCTTCGATAGTTGGAAATTTTACGGTATTTTTATAATCACTTTCATTCCACTTCTGAAGACTTTTCTTGTGTGTGTGTGTGTGTCTGTGTGTGTGTGTGTCTATCTTGACCACGTTATTATAAATAACTGTCACAAAAATATCTATACTTTGGACAGTGCTTATGGAATGGGCCACAGACATGTAGGGTTCCATATGTCTGCTGCTTCAGAAAAGTATACCCTTCCTTTCTTCCTTCTACCCTCTCCTAACTGTGCTTTCCCTAACACTTCGGCCTGCCCAACACTTTGGGTTTCTTGACTCTTTCCTAAAGCTCTCTGCCTGATGGTTCACCATGTGTCTGGCCTCCAGGTTGACTCCAAACCCACCTAACTTCATGGCTTTTGTTCCTTCTCCCCTCCAGTCTCCTCTTCAGCTCCTGAGATTTACAGCTTGCCTGCTCTGAAGATTTTTCTTTAAATTAATACAATCATCCTCAACCTTTAAAAAATTCTGTATAATTTTAACTTAAAATTTCTGTGTCTACAAAGATCAAAATGTAGTCATTTTTCCAGGATTGTATTAGTACATAAAATTATTATTAATATACAATTGAAAGATTTACAATTTTGATAAAATTAATTTTACCAACTTTTAAGTTATTTTATAAATGTACATTAATGAGAAGTATAAGAGGCTGGAGTGTGGCTAAGTTGTACATCACCTACCTGACATGCACAGGCCCATATCACAAAGGAAGGGTTTCTGTATCTTTGCAATTAATTTGTCTATTAAAAAGTGGATAGCCTTTAATCCCAGCACTCGGGAGGCAGAGGCAGGTGGATCTCTGTGAGTTCAAGACCAGCCTGGTCTACATAGTGCATTCCAGGATAGATAGCTGGGGCTACAGGGAGACCCCGTCTCAAAAAAGACCAAGAAAACATAGAAAGAAGTTCTAATTTTAAGTTCAAATTCATCAGTTCCTTTTCTTATAATTTTGCTTATAGTATATTATTGGACTATCCTTAATCTCTAAACAAATATGCAATTTTCTTATAGTTCGAAGTAGTTTATTATTATTATTA